TATTGTTAAAGGTATGACGAATTTAAACGTCATGTATTGAACATTTTAGTGCCTGGAAATATTTGCTATTAAATATCAGTTGAAAAAGTAAAGTAAACTCCTTTGAAATATTAAGAAGCTTGAGGTTGTCATTTAACCGCACTCTAAGTATTTAATCGAGAAAACCTTTACGAATAAATCTATAGTAGATGAACGGACGTTTTTGTAAGCATGGTTTCGTTTAACAATAAGTATTTTTTAACAACGAAACCATATGTATATTCATGCACCAAATGACCAACTTTACAAAGTCTGCTATAATTCCTTACATGAGACCTGGCAAGTTATAAGTAATGCTGAAAAATAAATTGTCCTTGATATAGCTCGAGGCGCGAGGCGAGGCGAGGCGTCTGCGAACAGGTTTGAAAAGCCATAACTCCTGCGTCTGACGTCTTCGATGCATAAATAAATCCAAAGCTTTGTGGATGTGATAACATATTTTATTTTCACCCGACCGACTTAGGAGGGTAATTTTTTACACCTCATGTTTACCCGACTGAAGAAGGTAAATGTTTTCCTGCATACCTGTTTTAAAATTGCGTAATATTATATTAATGAATTGAGCAATTAGTATAGAAATTTTATCAAAACCAAGTTAGTAAAAATGTTTGCTAAATCAATAATGACTCATTTAGTTAATGGTAATTAATTTTATGTTAATAAGTGGGCATTATTTGATGATGCTTGCAGTTGTTACTTTTGAAATAAGGTCATCTTTATTGCTGACTATAGAAAATCATGTTATGGCGTTATTATTCAACTTATGCTAGTAATAATATTATAGTAAAACAGTACTATTAGTCCTGATACCAAAATAATAAGTTTACTATATGACTAAGAGCGTTCACACCTAAAACTAAACTATCGCACAACTGTTTAGTCCAGTTTTATTTCCTATAACCACATGGAGGTGCGCACACTTCAGTTCACAGTTGAATTGACAGCGAAACAATATTAACACAACGGTTGTTGGATAGTTTAGTCAAAGGTGTGCGTCCACTCTTAATACAATTTATAAGACAGTGGAAACCTACGGCTTAATTAGCCATTCATAATTGCGGAATGTTTGACCGCAAATTGATAATCGCTGGCTATAAGATAATCAGATTTCAAGGAAATTAAACAAATAATTATTAAAGTGGACAAGATATTATAACTGTATATGATGCTATTTTTGTCATTTCCTAAGATAAATAAGGAAGTAAAACTTAAAATGGAAAAATTGTGATTTATTAGATTCAACAAAGCGAGAGATATATCTTGTTTCTTTGCGATGATGTAAGCAATAATGGAAAATTCCGACAGTTTATTGACAATAAACGTTTTAAATGTGATGTTTGTTTGATTTAAAATTTATTTTCCAAAAAGATTTTAGCCATTATATAAGACAAGCTTTTGCTCGCGACTCCGTCTGCGTGAAATTAAAAAAGCGATTAGCCTATGGGTTCTTCCAGATTATCCTCTACATCTATACAAAATTTCATCGAAATCCGTTCATCCGTTTGGGCTACAAACTCTAACAAACATCCATCCATCCATCTAAACTTTCGCATTTATGATATTAGTAAAATTTTATTGATAAAATTGTCACATTTTTAACGAAATTAACAGAGTTAAAAAAATGTACAAATTCTTAATTGAACAATTGTGGGTTATGACTATTTACATTGAAGCCATCGAAATATGTAATAAGTCGGCAGTTAAATTGTAAACAATGCCACATCAATTTTTGCTTTCTCTTCGTACTTTCCTCATTTCGCTTGGGAACACTGGAGGGCGTTGTGTCGCGTTATTTTTTTCCAACTCTCAGATTACAAAGCTGAACTTACGTGGGGAGAAACAAAGCGGATCAGGTTTTACTGGTCGTTTCGACTGGCTTTTACGACGTTCCCATAGGACTTCATTAAAGTTTTAGTTGTTTTTTAAGAACTCTATAATTATTCAAGTATAAGAACATATTCTTTTTACAAGGTTAAATATATATTTGGTCATTGGTAAATAGTTATTAGATGAAGTAGCTAATTAGGATGTTATCAGGTTTGGTGACATTTTCAATCTCTAGGATAAAAACTTTTAACTAAATATGGTAATATGATTGGCGCTATTTTTAAAACAGAGTTCTTGTAGCATGACTAGCTGTTGCTTGCGAATTCGTCCGCGTAAAAAGTTAAAAAAAAACATAAAGTATGTAATAAATATAATATAATAAAACGTAGCTTCTTAATGGTGTAATAATTTTTGAAATTGGCCCAGTAGTTCTTGAGTTATTCCAACACATATGTACAGAAGTACCCAAATGCAAAAGTACAAACTTATCCTCTTTATAACATTAGTATAAAGTATAGATTATGAACGTCGTCAACATAAAAAACATGTTAAATAAGACAAAGTGAGAATAAAACTGTACAAAACGCTTGGACGCATTTTATAACTTACAAGTCATGTATCACCATGACAAATCTCCTACAAAGAAATAGACTGAATTTCTCTCGCATAAAACGCATATTAAATGCGAATTGCCTCACATTCGAGTGAAGAAAGTAAAAAAGCCGACAACCCACATTTAGTGGAACTACATTGATATTTTTATCCATATTATTTAAAATGTCACCGTTATACCACTTTCCAGAAGTTACACTTACTTAGAATTAATGTTAAACTTAACATACAAACTTAAACAAACTTAACATTAATTCTAAGTAATTAATTGAGAAGATTAATCTTTTGGTATTATAAACTTGTGCCTTTGATTGTACAAAAGGTAGTAATCTATACATATAATATAATTGGAGTGACTGTTTGTTATATCAAAAGAAATATTTCAGATTTCGGGAAGATGATGTTTGAAAATAGCATGTCTGTCTGTCTTTCATTGAAGGGTAGCTGACATTGACTGGCAAATTATAGGCTACTTTTTTATCTTAATATTGCGTGAAGAAAGTCGCGGGCAATAGCTAGTATAAAATAAAATAGACCAACGTGTACTTTTGTACTTTTCTCTTTAACACCATCGCTATAATCTCTCGTAGATTAATTAATTTTTAACAATTAATTAAATCACTATCTCGTAATTAATTAAGATAAATCTGTTTTTCAATAATAGTTTTCGTTTTAATTATTATTTTAATCAATCTAATGGACGAACGTTACGTATCTAAATTGTATCCATAAATGTCAAGACCTAATAATTGAACTTTTTATTATTAAATAGTAAATGTCACTATTACACTTATTTGTATTATGAAATGTATTTCATAATAGTACGAGAATCACATTCATTTTCGTAATCCCAGCATCTAGTTTAGAAATAATTTATTACTAACATATTTTATTTTTAATTTCCCTATATGTGCCATGTATAATGTGGCAATACAGAGAAGCGATATTTCTAATATTGCCATGAATAAAAATTGTGTAATTTATTAATATTACGAAGGAAATTCAAGTCGACTTAAATATTTTAAATTATCTGAAGTACATATACTATTCTTCGATTATTGTACAAACAGTGCAATATTTTATCTATTGCACTTAATATAACTAGATAAGATTATCCGTGGGAACGAAAAGATAACCTATAAAAAGGTAAATCAACTAAAACGCAATGTAACTCAAATAGGTAAGCAGAGACCTCAAACATCTATCATCCGCGATCCTGACACATGTTGCTTGGCTATTCATATTTATACATCTACGCATACAAGCACGCCTGCTCTAGTACCGCCTTTCTTAAGCATATTAGCAATCTGGATATAATCTCGTTTTTTATTAATAGTTTTACTCGATTATCAACTATTTTTATACTATATGACTTAATATATTCCCAGTATCTTATCTTACGAATATTACAAATGCCAAAGTATGGATGGATGGATGATTTTGGAAAATATTTCCACAATAGATGCTCAGAACTGGATATAACAGCTGTTGAACACTGTTTGAAAAAACGCATAGGTTCTTACGTTTTTTATCTCATATGGAAGGAGCAGTGGTTAAAAGTTAAATTAAGAACGTCTTTTTTTGTGTACTGAATTGCCACTATTTGTCTTAAAGAGGTATTTACACAGCTACCTTTAAAACTTCTTGGTAATACAAAAACATTAGACTAACCACATCATATGTACGGATCAACAATTTTATAATTACTTGATAATTGCGTTAGCCACAATGCGATGCGTCAACTGATTGTTTACAACTAGTTCGTGGGATTTTCATACAAGTTACTAAAGTGCATTTTTTTATTATAAAAAAATTAAAACAATATCAAGAAATGCAGAATTCACGATGTTTTGCAAGTTCACGTCGTAAATATGTCATTATTGTAGCAATAATTTGAAAGTATACTCGTATGTTGCAATGCGAATTAATATGTTCGCGGATGACATATAACCTATATAACCTCATTTATATACATCATTCTAATATTATAAATGCGAAGTTTAGATGTATGGATGTTTGTTAGAGTTTGTAGCCTAAACGGCTGAACAGATCTGGGTAAAATTCGGGAATAGATGTAGAGGATAGTGTGGAAGAACACATAGGCTACTTGCTTTTGTTTTATTAATTCCATGCGGGCGAAGTTGCGGGCGAAAGCTAGTACTATATAATTTTTATGTCTTACTTAACTGAGGAAATACATATTAGCAAACAAAACTTACCTATGAATGACTAAATGAAACTGAAAAAGAATTAATTACAACTACCGTCAGATTTGAAAAATATTAAATTAAAACCTTTTGTAATTATTTTAGTACCCTTTTGACGGAAAATAATTTTATAAATGCCTTCAGAGAAATATATTACAGCGCATATAATAGATTCCTAGAATTTAATAACATAATCAAAACCTTGCTCATTAACTAACAAGTTAGGCGTAGTATTTCATAGAATTATGCTCAAGCAATAAATTAACTTAACGATTAAAGTTATCTTACAATAAAATATTAAGATAGAAATCTTACCAGAACACGTGAGAAAACATCCAATCTTGTGAGCATAAAATTTTAAACACTTCAGCTTGCCATTAAAAAGTAAAAAAAACCAGTCAGTTTTCAATGTCACAAAACACAGCACATATAACGGGACATAGGTTGACGTTTTAAAGTGGTCGCGAAAAAGAAATCAAACCATCGATCGTACGCGATTGGCCGGTCGCAAAACGTTCGAAATTCAAATCAGCCAATAGCACCGCGTTACGCATGCGCCCACTCTCGACCAATGCTTGACGCAGACTGACTGAAAACGGTTGCTTGACTGGTTGGAATGAAGAGCCTTCTCCATTCACGCTGGCAGGTAGATTACTCATGCATTAAGGAATTATGTACTTTATTTCCCAGACCTTAGAATTCAAATATTGAAAGAGCTAAAAGGTTATTATGATGTTTTGAGATAGAATATTGCATTGCCACCTCGGTTGCCTTCATATGCGCACGAGTTGAGTTTTTGCCGTAACATGTTCTATTTTATTTATTTATTTCTGTACAAGTCGAAGAAAATCTCTTATTTCGATTATTATGGATAAGATACATTTAAATAAAACATTTATCTAGAAATCGTTTAAGGCTAGAAAAATAAATGTGAATAACAAATGGAAATTAATTTGGAAAGCGTTTGTTTAAATTATGAAAAATCTAGAAAAAGATATTTAAACACATAAGTTAAATGCATTTGTCTCTTAGCTTGTGATATACTATAAAATAAAAGCGATTAAAGGCGTTGTAAAAAATACAAGCAAAACTCAAGTTCAACTTAACAAAGTTTTTATAAAGGTTGGTTCAGACTAAAGTTTGCGACGCCTGGTCAAACATGTTTTGCAATATTTTTTTACATTAAGAAATACAGTCAGCATATAAGAAATATATAGACTAGGCATAGTAACCTAATTTTTTTCACCGGTAATTTCTCTGCCAGGTAATATCATTTGCCAAGTTTAGTACGCCACCTGGTGGCCTTGTATTGACATTTTACAAAATTATTACAAGCTCCATCTTTTGTTTTAAAATAAACTAAACAGTGTCACAAATGAAATGTAATAATTATGTGAAAAATATTTCAAAACAAGAGTGTCAACTCTATGTATTTTTTTAAGCTCTTTGTTCAGTGCTTACAATTCTTATAAATTCGTGATCATGTACCGTAGGCAATTACATATATTACAGGTAAAATGTGCATATAGGCGATTTAAAAGACAAAAAAAAACTCGTTTTTATACGAAAGGCTGTAGAGGTTTGCCTTCAGAGACCAATGACTCGACGGTCAAGACAGAGAAAAGATTATTTGCAAATTTATTTCATACATTTATACAAAACGAATACACAAACAAAACAAGTCTGTAGTAATATTTATGACTCCGTATGGTTTTCCTCTCGAAATCTAAGTACTCGTATATCTTTTTTTGTTGACTTGTACTAGTACAGATATGTTGGTATTAAAAAATCACGGTAAGACACTGCCAAAATATCGCATTCTCAATATATTCGCAAAGTAACGCTATTAGCTAACATAATGTCCTTTAAACCGGTTATTCCGTTTCATTTCGGCATCACATCAACGAAGATTCATGTTACCCACAAATTGTAAATTAAGTTATTTTACAATCCGAATAAGCATAGTAGAAAATGAAGCATATCTTGGAATAAACAAAATGTAGAATTTAATGTGGCATTTTTTAAATTTACAATTGCCGAAATAGTCATACTGGAATCTATTTACTTATTTTTCTGGCCTTAAATCATGTTTACAATTCGTCCTTAGTTTAAATAAGTCTAGTCAGATTACAAATTGACGATATTTCCAATCTACTCGTAACACGTAATCAAGTGACCGGATGACTGAGGTTGTCGGTCGACATTCCTTTCGAATTATTTTTACCATTCGACAATCTTTACAAAGAAACCTAACCTTTATATATGTTGAAATATACAATTGAATTACTAATGTTTTTTCTATGCGACTGTAAACGTATTTTAAATAGTAAAATTAAAGGATTTAATTGTACGACCGTCACCTTTAAGTAATCTCAAACCTTTACGGTTTTAAGCTTTAAGTTATGTTAAAATAATAAACTTTTGCTTAGGCAATTTGACAATACATAAGTATAGCCATGGATATCAAGGCTAGACGGTAAGAAAATTTAACACACTCTGGAAAGTATATGATTTTCAGACAGTTAACATTTTATCAGTTGTTATAAGTAGATACATATCGACGGACTTGATGTCGCTAAAATATATAAAAAATATAATCATAATTGTTATAAGGGGAACTGCAATTAACTTATTTGATAAATAATTAAAACCAGCCTTTTTTACACGTATATTTCACGACATAAAGATTTAAACATCTAGAGAATATTTCTAACAATTAGATTTTGAATATCTCCGATTAATAAATGCGAGTGAATTAGAAAACTGTTACACGTAATAAATGATTTTAAAGCTAAATAATACTGAACAAAATGTATTTATGACTAGAATATTCTTTGAAATAAAATAATCTCTGCATTTATTTTACTTTGAGATTCTCCAAAACAAATATCTATTTAACCTTAAATAAAATAAATAATAAACTCTAATAAAAAACAATTGAACATCATCTAATGATGTATTATATTAAAATTCACATAAATGAATAATAAAATTTATGATTTTATAACAATAATGGTAAAAGGAGTCTCTCCCTTTTCAACAAAGTTAGAAGTAATTTATACCAAGCACAGATATTTGTCTACCTTTCTATATATTTAGTTAATGCTATTCCAAACAAGTTATAGTAAAATAGTATACTTATTTAAAAGGCTTAATAGGAAACTACATTTTTGGTTACAATCACATTGAAATAGTGATCTATATGAGGGAACAAAAGACTGAAATCTTTGCCTTATTATTACTACACCTACAAGGACATGATGCCATTTTTTTACTTTAACAGGGGGCGTCTGCTAGGTTATAAAGTTACCAGTAAGCAAAACATTCCCAACTTCATTCGAAATTTTGGAAATAATACATGTCACTTTCTTTAAAATTGGAGTTTGGAATTAAAGAAATGGCGACGGTTAACGCTTCCTCTTTGGTCAAAATATGCCGCTTTCAAAATGATATTTGTGTTTTGTTTTTATATTTGCATTGTTAGTTCATAAAATTGCCGACTGCCATATGCTCCTTGTAAGTCTATATATTCATATTTGATACTGTATTTTATACATCAGTGAAATTGAACATCAAGGGAAAGCTAAATGTATAGTGGGACAAATTTATCTGGCCCGGTGAGGCGGTGTTGTAATGATTAGTTTTGTTTCTGTCAGAAAACATTTATGACACACAAGACAAAATAAAATAAGACAGTTTTATTTCGACTTGGTTAATAGCATAATAACATTGTCAAAGGTGCTTATGAGCTATTGTAACTTAGTTTCATATATGCCTACCGGGTCAAATAGGTTTGTCGGTCTATAGATGAATATTTAATTCTTCCTCGTCAGGAACCAGGTCTGCATCGGCTCGGCTTTGCCCTTCATGGAGACATGGCCGCGATAAGTCAGCTCGAATTGATCGTCGTAATTATCCTCTCCCATCAGGCAACTGAAAAATAACATGTACAATTTTAAATACATAATATACAACTTATTTGTATACAAATACAACTCAAATTATTTAAATTTTTGTGAAGCGTTATTATAGCTAATTATTTTACAGCTTAATATTATTCTCGACTCTATTTTTCCTGTGGCTTCACCGACTAGTTTCGGACCCATCGGCGGTCCATCTTCAGGGAAGTGTTAGCCGTAAAATGATTAGTTACAAATACAACTTACTTGTATGCAAATAACTGACTTTATTACAAATAAGTTGTATCCAAATAAGTTATTTATCTTACTAATCTTTCTTACTAATATTATAAATGCGAAAGTTTAGATGGATGGATGGATGGATGTTTGTTAGCGTTTAGCCTAAACGGCTGAACGGATCTCCATGGAATTTGGCACAGGTTTAGAGCATAGTCTGGAAGAACACATAGGCTACTTTTTATCCCGGAATAAGTTACGGTTCCCGTGGGATGCATTAATTTAGTTTTTTAATGTTTACTCGATCATTCTGCAACGGTTCAACATATCTTATTGAAATTTGGCACAGATGTAAAACAAAGTCTGGAGTATACGTGGCATAAGCTTCATCCCCGAGGAGTTCGGTTCCCGAGGGATACGTAGCTTTTTGTTATTTATATAGTTCGTATGTTTTTAAATACCACGCGGACGAAGTTGCGGACAACAGCTCGTATACAAATAAGTTGTATACAACTGTTGTAACAGTGTTTTTTTTGTATAGTTATTACTCATATTTTAACAAAAAAGGATCGTTTTGCTAAGTCCAAGCTATCAAAATACCTCATAAAATAATGTAAACCCGAAAATCCTCAAACCACATTCTCAGGCCAATACATTGTTGAAAACGAAAAGTCTGTTAGAACTACGTGTATTATTGACCATGGATAGATCAATTTCAAAGGCTTCCCATCACCTTAACCGTAGGTAAGTGGATTTAACTGCACTTACAAGTTTTCGGAATAAAAACGAGGGTAAAATTTACTGATTTCCTTTACTACTATCTCAACCATGGGACGCGTAATGTCTATTATTTTGTGCTCAGTTTTAGTGTTTCAGTTTTAATTTAAATAATCTGTGTTAAAATTTATGTCAATTGTCAAAATCGAGAGAGTGTTTACTTATTTTTGTAAATATATGTGGTTTTAGAATAAAAGGAAATAAATTTTCATAAATATGGATGCGTTCATGGACTACTATTTCGAGGAAGTCTTCTGTAATTTCGATCGCGACAGTTTGAATGAACGGTACAAAAGGCGGGAACTTGTCGAATATTTTAATTCAGTTATATCTGGATGTGCAAAAGGTTGATATTTATGCATACATTTTACTCATACAATCAGTGTTTTTCAGAGAACAGTGTAACAGTTTAATGGCGTTCTTTCTTTCATTGCAGAGATAAAGGCAAAGGCCATTCATCCATTCAGCCAATCTTAAAAATTTAACTAAACTAAATTAAAACATTTAAATTCCTGTACAAATTACTTTTTTTTTGTACAAATTATTATGTTTTTCCAGGACAAAATGAGTCGGACAACGTGACATGCAAGCACTTCGTGACGTCCGCCTTGAGATACCATAACAATTGCAAATCTAAAAATGGAGATGTGTGTTTGATGGGGAAGTATCACAACTTACTGTACATTGCAATGAAACTCTCATTTGACTGGAGTCTCCAGGACAACGGTGTGGTCGCAGCTTTATTAGATGAACTGTACGCTTGCGAAGGAACTTTCGAAAGGATATTTTTAGGTAAGCCAACAAGTATATTAAATATATAACAGTTACCAGCTGTCGCCCGTGACTCTGTCCGTGTGAAATTAAAAAAAATAGAAGTAGCCTATATGTTTGTCCAGATTATGTTCTACATCTATGCCAAATTTCATCGAGATCCGTTCAGCAGTTTCGGCTACAAACTCCAACAAACATCCATCTATCCATCCATCCATCCGTCCATTCGTCTATCCAAACTTACGCATTTACAAGTGAAATTTACACATATTTTAATACCCTTTAATTGTATAAAACCTTATGAAGAATTATTATTGTTTAGTAACTGGTTAAAAATAATTATTTACATTAATTCCAGGAGCAATATTCGGTACATCAGCACCTTATTTCTTGGCCGGTTGGAAATCAGACTTTATGGACAGAGAGGAAAATGTATCGGCTTTAGTATTCTTCCTAGATCACGCGACTAATGCTAATTTAGAGTTTAAAGAAGGGAATAAATCATATCGTTTTATAGACGTCCCTTTAGAAAGCTGTGGAAAAGCCTCACCCGTTAGAGTGGTCATACAAATGGGCGCTGCTGAAATATTGATGATTTTACTACGTTTCGGTGCAAGAATTACTTCCGATCATGTTTCAACTAACCCTATAGAATCAATCTTAGATAGATTGAAGGAATATAATAGAAAATATCCATACGAATTAGTGACTTGTTTGAAATTAGCATTGAGAGCTGTACCTAGGTTGCATTTAACAGTCGATAAAGGAGTTTTTAAACATTTAGAATTACCTGATGATTATAATTATGATCGTAAAATCGCATTGGAAAAATATAATGAAATTTTAGAGGACCATTTGTTACCTAGCTCTAGATGTGGGTTAAGACCTGTCGAGTTAAAACATTTATGCAGATGTTTAATACGACAGATGCTGTGGACGAATTTCGAACTACCCTTTGGTATACACAAGTTGCCTATACCGATGGCTTTGAAGAAGTATTTGGATTTACTAGACGATTAATTTGGTAAAATGTTTACTACAAGAATAAAATTGAATTAAATATAAAAACCTTTTGCTGCAGGTATAATATTATTGCAATAATACGTTTATGGTATTAAGGATACTAACAATATATTTTGATATTAAATAATTGTTTTACGCGACTTGATAATTTTAGTTTTGGAAAAATAAAAATGTTTCAAACATCTATCAAAGCTTTTGAATCCCTAATTTATCTATACATATAATAAAACAGGAGTGTATGTTTACAATATCGAAAGAAAAATTGCAGATTTCGGCAAGATGATGTATTTGCGTTGCTGATATCGAAAATCGCATTAAAAAATATCTTTCTGACTGTCCGCAAGCCGCGTTTGTTTCGGGTAATCGATTCACGTAAAAACTACAGGGCCGATTTTAAAACTTCAATAGCATAGGCTACATTTTTTAATTTGACGAGGACGAAGTCGCGAGCAACAGCTAGTAGTATATATGGATACTAGCTTTAGCCCACGACTCTGACCGCGCGGAATTAAAAAAAACAAATGCAAGTAGCTTATTTGTTTTTCCAGACTATTCTCTCCATCTATGGCAAATTTCATCGAAGTCCGTTCAGCCGTTTAGGCTACAACCTCTTACAAACATCCATCCATCTAAACTTTTGCATTTATAATATTAGTATGATGATAAATAACGTGAGCTCGCAAAGCTTTGACTAAACTATCGCACATCTTATTAAAACTTTCGTGAGACATTATACTATATAAATTATAACACGGCTAAACTCACGTTGTAACAAACAAACTGTCGGTGCCTACACCGAATGTTACAACGTGAGTTTAGCCGTGTTATAATTTATATAGCACATCTGTTTAGTTATGTTTCGATTACTATGAGGTTATGGAGGTGCGCACACTACTGGTTAGTTGTGCAACTAAATAGTCGCACGCAGTACAGCAGTACAGCAGTGCAGTAGTGCTGGGCAGGCGCGCTCTGGCGGTAAGCGACCTGTGCGTGTCCTCGCTGACGTTGATGGTGCCGGGCACGCCGGTGGTCTCGCAGCGGCTGGTGAGGTTGACGGTGTTGCCGAAGAGGCAGTAGCGCGGCATGCGGTGCCCGATCACGCCCGTCACCACCTCCCCCGAGTGGATGCCGATTGTTATACCCTGAATCAATGTTTATTTATTACTACTTTTGCTTATAAATGCATAATGGGTTTTTAAATTTTATCTTTTACTAGACAATTAACACAAATGGTCGGTAGAGCCCGCTTTAACATCTCAGCACTGTAGGACCGGATTGCTCAGTGCAATACCAGACCACACAGAAGACAGGCGTGAAGTGGGAGCAATTCCGCGTTTTTACTGACCAGTGTGGTGCCTGAGGCCTAATTTTAGTCCTTTTTCTTTCCCATCATTTTCTCATACTAAGAGTATAGGAAGAGAAAGTGGATTTAACGGTGGTGGAGACGCATAGAAATGGGAAACACCCACCTTATGTGCATTTCCTTTTTCGGTTAGGTAACACATTTGCAATTTCGGATATATATGGGCAGCGATTACTTCGCTTTCTCGGCGAATTCAGGTGGCCGCTCGGTCGTTTACCACTATATAACATAAAAGACTCACGACGGGCTCGTTGTCGACGGTGACGGTCTTAGAGAAGTCCATCATCTCCAGCGCCAGCAGGCAAATGTGCTTGGCGTGCGCCACCTGGTACTCCGGCAGACCCGACACCGCCATGTACTTGTCGCCCACCGTCTCCACCTGGATATAATGAGATTTGTATTTTTGCATGTATTGAAATAAATCAAAAACTACTGGGCCGATTTTAAAAATTCTTTCACCGTTAGAAAGGTCATTTATCTGTGAGTAACATAAGCTATATTATTTTTAACAGCTAGTAATTAATATAGTATAAAGTCTCACAAAAGAGTTAATATGTAATATAAGCTATATTTGAAACCTTATAAACGTTGGGATTCTTCTTGGGGTCTGTGAGCACGTCGAAGGCGGTGTAGAGGTCGTTGAGCATGCGCACGATCTTCATGGCGCCCTTGTGGTCGGTGTTGGAGGCGCAGTAGTTGGCGAAGCCCACGATGCCGCTGAACAGCAGCGTGACGGGGTCGTAGCGCCGCGCCGGCACCGGCCGCCGGTGGCGCAGCTCCGTCGCCACGCTGATCGGCAGCACCGAGTATAGCAGCCTGCCACGACATACATACATACATCAACACATTTGTGCGCGTTTATTTCAGGAGTTAGTTCTAAGTTTACAATAATTCTTAGGTTATAGAGGTTACTAGGTACTTTACAAAATAACCTTTTTAAAAACGAATTTGTAAAATTTATGTAAAAAGTGAACCATCTGCTGTCTTGCAGATATAAGAACCTTCACATGTGCGGACGATTTTATAAATATCTTTTTATATCGGACCTCGTCTTACTAGTATTAATGGCGCAGCTTAGAGAATGAAAAATACATTGAATCGACGGGAAACTTTTGCACCAATTAACTTAAATAAATGCTGCTTAAAAATAAATTTAAACATTTCCAAATTTACGGTCAAATTCAGGTACGTGGGAGGAGCTCAAACTGGCCACGCCCCGTTAATTTTTTAATAAACTGCGTGCACCTGTCGGTCTTCTGCTTCTCGGAGTCGAGTTCGCGGAAGGTCTGCTGCAGCTTGTCGGTGAGCACCTCCAGGCTCTGCGTCAGTTTGTAGTCGGCCTCGAACTGCTCCGACATCAGCACCAGGTCGCGCGTCGCGTCGTGCAGCGGGATATCAGAGATGCACAGCCCGCGCCTGACAACACCACATTCACACTCCTTTAATGCTCATTAAATAATAAGATAGTGTCCCGTGTGTACAACCCATAATTCAAAATCTATACATCCCTATTGAAAGCCTCGGAGCCTAACCTACGTTAGGGTGAATAGGACTTAGTAAAAAATAAACTATTTCATCCAAATTATCGCAAAAATATGACTACTAAAAATCAGTTTTATTTGCTACAAACAAGAAATTCAAATGCTATAAATACAAAAATCGACACTCTTATTGAACAAATAACGTAGAATCTATGTTTAGTAAGAGTAAGTCAATTAAGAACAGAGTCTACATACTCATGATGTCGAAGCTAAGCATGAGTTATCACTCCTCCATTTAACTAAAATAATCCAAACAAACGCATTCAAACGACATTGTTGTGAATTTATAAAGAGGTTTGATTTACAAAAAATTAGATACTGGTTATAATAGATTATAAGTGTATAAAATGTAGAAAGTAACTGACAGTTCAGAACAGTTCAGAATAAAATGTGTGTTTAAAAGAACCTAGAAAATTTTAAAGACAATGAAAACAATAGTCTTTTAATTTTTACAACATACATATTTTTAAACAGACGTAAATTGGGATTTTCTATTCGTGACTAAAAAAAGTTCTTACCGAGTCAAATCATCGAGGTTGGTGACGCTGGGATAACACTGGAATACTATTACATCGGTCTCTGGAATGTACAGCATTTGGCCCTGGAATAAGACAACAGACAAACATAGTTACAAAGACAGAGAACGATCTTTGCCTTATAATAAATAAATAAAATAAAATAGCCTTTATTGCTTTTCAGATAACAGTTAATTATAAGTGGCTAGTTGTTAAAAATAGATTTTCTAATGAATTAAAATTTTCACATGAATTATCGGCAACTGGTTGTGTGTGCGGAAAAGCTTGTTTACCGCCAAAGGCCTCCTCTACAGATTTGCACTCCTTCTTGTCTTTAGCCAAACGGATCCATATTAGACCAGCTTTTTTGTTGAGGTCATCATTCCATCTTCTGTTTTGTCTGCCTCTTTTTCTTTAGCTATCTCTTGGATACCACTCTGTTATTAACTTTGCCTTATATGCCTATACAAATTTTCAGCTAATCCAGCTCTGGGCGTAGAATTAAAAAGCAACAAAAGTAAGCAGTCTGTGTCTTCTTCCAGACTATCCTCTACATTTATGACAAATTTCATGGAGATCCGTTCAGCAGCTTAGGCTACAAATTCTAACAAACATCCATATAAATGTTCGTATAATATTAGTAAGAGTAAAATTTACCTTGAGACGAAGGGATGCGATCTCTTCGTGAGGGTCAGTTGCGTTCATTTCCTCCGGCTTAGTCTTCAAGACGTACACGGTGTTAATGTGGGCGAGAACATTCTGGAACGTCATCTCCAAATGCGGTCGAACCTTTAAAAATACAAATTCATCATCATCACCAGCTCACTATACATCCCCACTGAGGGACTCGGAACCCACCCTAAGTTAGAGTGACTAAGACATAGTCAACCTTCCAACAACCAACCGGTGTTTTCCTTCACCATAAGAACGTCGGGTAAATTATGTACCTATGAAATTAAAAAAAAAATATATTGGACATGGCGCAATTCGAACCCAGGACCTGTAGATTTCAAATCAAGGGCTCAAACCCCCGAGCCATCGACGCTTACAATAAAACTACTTAAATTACAAATTCATACATAACAAGAATGAACAAGATACAGTGGTAGAGTCCGCTTTAACATCTTTGCACGAATGAGTCGCCCGGTGCTATACCAAGACCATACAGAAGGCATGCGGGAAGTAGAAGCAATTCCGCGTACAGTCTGATGAGTGGGCCGGAGGCCCAATTTTAGTCCCTTTCCCGTTTCCCACCCTTTTCTTATAAAGAATAGATTGGATGAGAAAGTGGATTTGACGTTGATTTAGGTGGCTGCTCGTTCGTTTGCCACTTTATTGTATAAAAAAAGACATGGAACAACGATATTGTTTGCATGCGGCAATAACAGGTACATACCGTGTCCAGGACGTCGGTGATCTTGCAGGCGGGCGCGGCGAGGCGCGGCAGCAGCCGCGACACGGTGCGGCCTGCCTGCACGATGCTCAGCGAGCGGTCGAACATCAGGTGGAATGGGAACACGCGGCAGAACGTCGCCGGACTCACTTTAGGCTCTGCGAAGTTCACAATCATCTTATTAATATTACTAGTAATATAAATAAGACAGTTTAGATGGACGTTTGTTTGTAGCCTAAACGGCTGAACGGATCTCGATGAAATTTGGCATAGACGTAAATATAGTCTGAAAAAACAAATAGACCCCTCTCTTTTGTTTTTTTTTTTAATTCCACGCGGACGGAGTCACGAGCGAAAGCCAGTATTAATATAGTAATTTGAAAGTTAACAAACACAAATAGATGATAGTGTTTTGTTTTCGTCGACAAGTTTTAACAAACACGAACGTGTTTTTTGTTGACGAAATAAGAGCGCGCACCTTTGACTAAACTATCGCACAACTGTTTAGTCATGCTTTAATTTTGCTCTATTTGAGCAAATACACAGTTGAATTGGCTGCGAAACAATCGACAATCAACAATTGCACAACAGTTGTGCGATAGTTTAGTTAAAGGTGTGGGCCCGCTCTAATAATTTAAATTAATATTTTCATTTATCGTACCCAGCGACAATGTTTCTATCTCGGCAATCTCGGGCACGGCCACTCGCCCCGGCGTGGAGGTCTCCGTGATGAGGAACTGCACGTGGTCGCACTCCTCCTTAGTCTTCAATATCTCGACTTTCACTTCCGTATTGTGCAGCTTGCTGGCTACCGTCTGCAGAAAAAAAAACATATAGCTAATATTATTAACTGACAACAAAGCTTTTTAAAATTGGTCCAGTAATTTTTGAGTTATTTTAACACATACAAAAATAAAAATAATTCCTCTTTATATTAGTATAGATTATTGAATTTACCAAACACATTGATCTATTGAGTTAAAAGCACATAGAATTACATAATTTTTATGGGCAGAATTCTTTGCTCTTTTTGTAAATATCTGTGACTGATGAATTATCTTACTTTAACGATTCCGATAACGATATGCTCCAGTCCAGGTCTGTCGGAGTAGTAGTGCAGCACGAGGGCGCCGTCCTCCGGGCGCTCGGTGCAGCGGAACGACGGCGAGCGCATGCCCGGGTACAGCGTGCCCAAGTGGTCGTGGAGACCATCCAAGTTCTAACGATAAAACAATCGCTAGTATAATTTGTATAGTGGTAGAAGCTTTAACATCTTCGCACGAATGGGCTGGTTCGTTTGGTGCAATACCATACAAAAGACGCGTAAAGCGAAAACAATTCCGCGTAGTCCGATAAGTGTGGTGTTGGAGGCCTGATTTTAGTCATTTTCAACCCATTTCTTAAGAGGAAAGGACGGGACAAGTGGATCTAACGGCGGAGGAGACGCATAAGAAGGAATATATCCTGTTCCCTTCCGTCAATTAAGGGTAGGCAACGAATCTGCAATCGCGGATGTCTATGGGCAGCGATCGCTTTGGAGGATTTCGGACCGTTTGATATAAAAAAAATCGTTGATTTATCCTAATTGGAAAAAAGTATACTAACTTGTAAGAAGTCACGCGGATTAGCTCCTAGGACTTGTAAAATTTTATCATAGCCGGAGTCCTGACAGAACTCGAAGAAAGTCCTACCGAACGATTCCAAGATTGCATCAGCGGGAGTCTCTATAATTATATAACCGTATTAATTATTTTAAAGAAAATAAACATTGATTGAAGCGAATAAAATCAGTATACATCTTTCATAACTTACGTAGAATTTCAACAGCAGCAGTAATCAGATTGTAAGTTATTTCATCCTCGTAAATCTGACGAACGAGGAAGCTGCCCTCCATTGATACGGCAGCTTTCTTCCTGTAAAAAAAGTATTGTTACAAATACATATGCTAGCAGCTAACTACAAGCTAAATATGGAATTTTATATCAAAAAGGCGGTATCAGGGCAGCAAAAACTTGATCGATTACTCGTCTCGCGACTCTGATCGCTTCTTAAGTATGATAAACAAAAAAGCTTTAAAAATACATTTACATACTAATATTATAAGTGTGAATGTTGAGTTGGATGGATGTTTGTTAGATTGTAGCCTAAACTGCTGAAAAGATCTCCATGAAATTTGGCACAGATGTAGAGCATAGTCTGGAAGAAAACATAGGCTACTTGGTTTTGTTTTTTTAACACCACGCCGACAAAGTCGCGGGCGAAAGCTAGTATAAAAACTTTTGGTTATGTTTAACAAAAGACTTACTTAATTTTTTCCCATGTTTCTTCGCCAAATGACTTCAGAACGAGAAGTTCCAAAGCGTAATTAACGAAACCGTACTGAAAGTGTAAATATAGAAGGTTCAATTAAAAATATCACAAAATTGTAGAGAAGCTAACAATTACATTGAATCAGTAGACGACAAATATAAGACAATTTACTGAAGTATAACAAATACACTTCCATAACTCACCATTTTAAAGATTTCTTTCTCCCTCTGAAAAAGAAAAAAAAGAAACATACAAAGTAGTTCTTGTTATGTCAAACATTTACAAAGAATAAAATATTGTGTGTCTCTGAGACTAAAATTAATATTCTTGTGCAATATAATCTCGCAATCAGTTGGAACAAAGGCAAAAGGGGAAATTTACACAACTCTTATTAATTTTCTCCGCCTCGACGGACCAAGTGTTCCGATTGCCAGAACAAATAAAGTAAAGGGGTATTCCCTTTGTTGTTATCAAGACACAAATGCTTTTTTAATTGCATTCAAAACCATATTTTCTAAACTTATTTAATCTAACAAAGAATAGTAGTAATAAAGATACGTTTACATCTTTTTTTCGCGCCAAAAATACATTGATATTTCTTTTTCGGCAGTATTTTATATATTAAAAAATGGTATATAACAGACCATATAAAAATATATTAAATTTTCAGTTTAAAATTCTTTTTAACAGAGACATCTGTGTGAAACGTTACCGACTATTTGGAAAACAGATTATTACTCGCGTACTAGATGGCGCTGGGAACCTTGTTTTAGTTTCATGTATATTAAAATTGTTGCTAAAACAAAATTTAAATTGTATGAACATTATCAATTGTAAAATGTAAGAAATAAAATTTTATTTTACAATTCTGTTGCTAAAATTTCTAGTGGTCAAATTATTATTGTTAAATATCTATTTAATAAATTAAAGGTGAGCAGTTTTTACAAGTGTTGAAAATAACTTTTCCAATATCATTTTGTACGGTAGAATGTGAATTAACGTTTTTCTTAGAGTAATTTTCTCATTATGAACTCCTTTTTAGGACATAAAGATGTTTAGTTACAGTGATTGGATTAAAAATAATGTTTCTCACCTGATTTAACCTCAATTCCCGTGTTTTTTTTAACTTTAACACTCAAAGTTACACTGTATTTAAGCCCTATATTAATTTGAATATGGAACACACGTATATTTACCTTTTTTCTTTAACTCGTTAAACTAACCTTTCACACAACCATTTACGCCAATGCCTTGGCGAAAACTGACATTTACGTTTACGTTATTGGTCGAACAGATGAATTTTAGCATTTTTCCACTTTCTTTCTTTAAAAATATTTTATATTAGGTTTAAATTAAAGACGTACTAAGATTTGATGTTTGATTTCATGTTAATCCCTAAAAAATTCTTAAAAATAATGCAATTTAGTTTTAATTTTAGAATACTGCCATCTCGTACATGTACTGTGACGTTTAATAAATTCACCAATAGATGTCAGTGGCAGTTATACAGACTGGGAGTACTACAGTAACTGGAAGAGGTATAATTTTGAGTTATAAAATCAGAGATTCAAACTGGCTATTAATTGGGTTTAGAAATATCTTTGTTCTAGGACGCGCCGCCTCGGCGATAAATTAGAAGGAAAAGCAGTTTTTAATTAAAGGGAAACTTTCAATTAATGTTCCAGAAGCAAGCAAGGTTTTTATTTGAAACGATTTAAATTCTTTTTCTTATGAAAGAAGGTAAACGAGCATGACATAAAAGACATCGTCTTTCACACCAAAGTAAACTATGTTTTGTGTTTAATAAAACGGATACATTTGGGACAGAATAAGTGAAAAGTCGTCAATTTGTTACCTTGACAGGGTCCATTAGGTTCCAACATAATTGCAATTGTGTAAAGTGCTTTTGGGAATAGACAAGTTAAACAGTATTATGAACAACACAAGTAGACATCAACCAAAAACATTGAAGGTTAAAAGTAACTAATACCTAACTATTGTGTTAGTTTTCGGATCTTTTAAATCATGAAAATCAATAAGTTAATTTTTTTACAATGTGTGTTTAAGACATATGATCTAACCTTTTATTTACTAAAATACTATCGGATGTATTAACATAGATAATTAAATAATATATTATATGATAATAATTATATAATATAACGAAGTTATTTCTGAACAAAGCGAAGTACAAGTCGAAAATGTCAAAGAATTTAATAAATCTGTCGTCAAATGGCGAACTCGGCGGCCATAATTTAGGAAAAGTGTGACCATTATATCCGCACGAATAACTCCAAAGGATCGTTCATTTGAATAACGTTTCCATCAATGGATACAGTTTGTATAAAGTATAGACTTTTGGTTTGCAAGCATTTTTTTAGGCTTTTTTTTATAGAATAAGCTTTCGCCCGCGACTCCGTCGTAAAATAAAAAAAAACAAAACGAGTAGCCTATGTGTTTTTTATGCTACTCTAACAAACATCCATCTGAATTTTCGCATTTATAACATTAGCATGGTAGTATAAATATTATAGAAGGATCAAATAAAGTACATAACTTACATAATTTTGTATTGATTAATTACTACACTCAGAGTTAGTTAAATGATACTAACTTTTTGAGGTTATTATGACGCGTTGTGACAATAGCTAGTTACCAATGCAGTACCGGGCTTAGCGGTAATAGCACCCTGGGTAAGACTTTTACCAACAGCAGGCAGCGGGCAGTAAATGATAACTGTGGAATTCTCAAATATTAGCGTCACCTTCTGTCGTCGCCAAACCGCATCCTATGGCGTCTGCGCAGTTTGAATGTTAGAGCATGTTTAGGATTAAAACAAAATGAAGTATTTATAACAAAGTGTTATTTATAATTTCTTATACTAACAATACAAGGATGTATGACGATGTAAAATGAGTAACATGGTCGACACAATCCAATTACACAAATTAACTTCCCTTGTATTGTTGTAAGTAATGAGTTTTCCAACTACAATAAATATTTGTCGACGTTCAGTTTGAACTGACCGAGCGTTTCATTCATTTCAATGATTAATGCGGTACTTAATGTGTTTAACATGTTAATTTCGAGCTTTTACTTTGTTTTAACACCGTCCGAATACTGAAACCACATTTTAAAATTGACATCTAGAACATTGTAGCGTTTACGAAACGAATAGTTAAACATTCGTTTCACTATTCATCCGTTAATCTATTATATGTAATTATAGTTTTTCTTTGCGTTATTAAGTAAAAAAAAATATTAGTAATAAATATAGCTTATATTATTCAGTGATAATTTAGCTTTCTAATGCCAAGAGAATTTTTAAAATCTGCCGAATACTTTTGGAGTAGATTTACATAAAAACACATATCTTTGTTCAAATTTGTAATATAAAATTAGTAGAGATTTATATCACAGCAAACTGTTGCACAAATACTTCAACAGAGTATAAAAATTTTAATCCAGAACAAATTAATTAAGACTACAGTTACTACAGTTCGCGTTTCGCAGTTACAATAAATATGCTAACGAACGTAACGATGGAAATTATCATTTAATTTTACGACAATGAGCCGCACCGTTTGTTTTTACAACGGAAATAACGAACCGACTAATAATGTCGTATATTACAATACTACATCTACAATGATTATAAAATCCTGACGTGAATATCAAAAGGGTAAGAGGTGTGAGAAGGTCGCGGAATGCCATTTCAGTATAAACGTAACGGAAAATATTATTTTAAAAACATTCAACTTGCAGCTTAAAATGTCACCAATTTAAAATTAAATCTTTTACATTTTTAAGTGGATTTAATAATATCAAGAAATTTAGAACGTTAATAAAATGTCGAGCAAAAAATCCTAATCAAGCAATTCTACTAGGTCAAGTTAGTTGACTACGTGTTAGTCCCACCTAACTTGACAGGCTTCAAATCCCACTGCACTTCTCAGCGCGTCTCTCTCTTCCTTCGTAAGGGTTTTGGGGGGGGGGGACTTGTTCCCCCCCTAAGAGAGAGCTGCTCTGGCAGCTGATGCGCAGGTGGAGTCGCGGTCGAAAGCGAAAGCGTGGCCGTGGTTCTGCCATCGTGCGCGATAGGGAAAGAGGTGGTTTAGTAGGTATGCCCCATTCTGGAGAGAAACCCACATAACTACCGTGTCCTTTGGGGGCACGGAGTATGCATACAGCATTCCACCTCTGTAAAAAAGGATTCAAATCCAACAATAGAGAAGTATATTAAACTGATGATTCAAAGTTCATTGAAAGAGAATTCGGAATAAATCGGAGTATTTTATGAATTAAAAAACGGTAAAGAAGTCAGCAAAAAGAAACAAATAGAATTCATTTCAGTTTATTTCGCTTCCGAAGCACTCAAATCAAGTGAATATTTATGCGACATTGTCTATCCCATTTGTCCAGGTTTGAAAGGCTTCCTTTAGGTGAGGCAAGTTTTCTGGAATTTAATTTATCACCATCTTATTGACTGTCCCGCCTACTCGGAATTTAATTAGGGATCTCATTTGCATTTCAAATATGCTTCAGATAAGAATACTTAACGATAGATTAAAACGCAATTGGTTAATGTAATTAAATAACAGTTTTATTTGCGTTGGAAAAATAGTACGGATAGTATCAAAGGTTTTACTTTTAAATATGTTACTTTAAGAGTGTGCGTGCACCTGAAACTAAACTATCGCACAACTGTTAAGTCTTGCTTTGATTGCTATGAGCTTATATGGAGGTGCGCACACTACTCGATTTTTAGTTGTGCAACTAAAAAGTTGAATTAGCTGCGAAATAATTGACGATCGATCATCGCGCAATAGTTGTGTATAGTTTATTCAAATGTGTGCGCACGCTCTAAGTATGTTAAGCCTTCAATGCTATAAAAATCTGTCTTGTTTACATTTCTCTGTTAATTAATATTTTACTATTTAAAGTTCGAACTACATTCTACATTAATTTATATGACATCCTTCTTCCCAATCTGTTTGGGGAACAATAAAATATAGGGCATAAACGTTGATATCGACCGTAAAGGTCGGGTAGCGGGTTTCCGGTAATAAAATTGAGGAACAGTTTTCTCTTTAGACAGTTTACTGAACGTAGCAGAATTTCTTATTTTCCAAGTTGGCGAATAAATTACGATCACTTCCTTCACGAAAGGTTACTTCGTTAGTTCTAAGTTTAAGTTAAAACATCAAACTATTCTATTGTAAGAAATGTCTGAAATTATAAATACCTTGGTAATGTCTTCTATATATCGAAATGTTACTGATTTTAAAATCTTTTAAACTCTTCTTTAAGTTAGCTTTGAAATTTGCAACGCTCTAGAGTTATAATAAAATTGCAATCCATTCTAAGTGTTTAACTTGTTACCGACAGCGCGGCATCCAAAAATACAAAACTTTACTATTCAAACAACACCTCTTTATTTAAACTCATTTACAGATTAAAAATATATAATTGTAAAACTATATCGATCACATCTCGACTCTTTTCTTCTCTTGTTTTTTACTATACCTTTTCTTTAACCAATTACGTAAAAGTCTCGGTGGCCAGTATGCAACCTCTTTGGTTGTATTCTTGTCAACCAAAGAGGTTGTATTTTGCACTGAACACAAAGCTTCAAACGGAATTGAGAGACTGCGATTAAATTCAACTACGATAGTTCTGTTTGTGACTACGATAGTTACGTCTGGACATAAGTACAGTCAGCTTCACAAATCTATATACTTTTATTATTACAATTTCTTACTTCAAATAACTTCAAAACACATAAAAAGATTACAATTATAAAATACTTTTTTTGGACTAACATTTCCTGAGCATTCCCTAGTCTGTTCAATTATGAAGATACTAACTTTCGCTCGCGACTCCGTCCGCGTGGAATTAAAAAGAACCAAAAGTGAGTAGCCTATGTGTTCTTTCAGATTATCATCTACATCTATACCATCGAAATCCGTTTAGCCGTTTGATCTACAAACTCAAACAAACATCCATCCATCCATCCAAACTTTCGCGTTTATGATATTAGTATAAGTATGATTTAAAAACGTTTATGTACCCGTAACTTTTCATTGTCTAATGACTCGTATAAACATTGTTATCATCTCTTTCATATGAAAAGACAGGCGTTTACCGTTGGGCCGATCGATCCCCGATCGAATGGGATTTTTTCCCTATAAGGTGAATTGATAACAGATAAGAATATGTTTCTTATACGAATATGT